GATCATAATAAATATCACAAAGTACTCGCTAGTGATGATTAGATCTCATGGCTAGACAGCTTGTTGGCGTATTCGTTTGCGCACGCTGGTCGAATGGTGAAGCATCCATGTCACTTAACAGTAGTAGTCTGCTACCGGGCTTCTGTGGGGTGCACTGCCCAATCAATTTAAATCACGAGCGAAAATCGTGTTCCCGCTGTGGCCTGTTTCTTACCTCCCGTCTTAACTCAAAAACGTAACACGACAACTCACATTCCAGGCAGGCAGCATTGGTTTACTAGAAGAGTTTCCTCCGGTAACACTCCAGTCTTAGCCTTACAGCGACTTGGAGCCAGCGATGGACTCAGCTGCAAAGCCGATGAAAACGAGTCCTCTTATGACTGAGGATCGCATTGAGGCCCTGGTCTCCATGGACAGCAGCCGCTTCAAGGCTGCCCCTCAAAACTTACCCGACCAGTATTACCTTCTGTCATCCTGGGAACAAGCGCAATCTTGCTTTCCCATCCACTGCCGGGGCGACCATGGCACAAGGCCATGGTATCCGAGCGCGTTCTCCATACGTTCTCGGGCATCTGTCACATCACAGGCAAAGAGCAAAACTGTATCACGATTAAGCCGGAGCGTCAGTTAACAACCCACGGCCGAAAGGCCGCGGGTGCGTAGCTGGGGCTTGACTTTGTTGGTAAAACATATCAAGCGCGTGTGATGCTTTGTATTGTGCCTTGACCTCGCCTGTACATCTAAGGACTGCCGTGAACGCCATGCTGAATGCCCTCCATCCGTTACCCCATACCAAACAAGATCGCATGCGCCGTCTATTTCAACACCGGGGGGGCGCCCTCGCCTCGAGATACTGCTCCGCGACACCCTGCGGGCAGACCTCGGATGAGCGCAAAGACCTCCTTGTCGTGGTACCGCAGCCTCGTCTTGGGGTCAATATACGGCGCGGGCAGGCCCGTGATGTCGCAGTACCGCTTCGTGTGGGCCAGGGACGGCGCGCTCTCGATGTTCGTGTACGTCGCGCTGGGTGCTGCGCTCGCCGGGCCCGTCGCGCCGCCTGTGCCGCCGCCTTGCTGCTGCTTCAGCGTCTTTTCGAGCACGAGCTTCGACAAGCTGCGTGATGCCTGAGCGAGGTTCGGCTGGGCGTTCGCTGCGTCGGCGGGCGTTGAGGCACCGCTGGGGGAGAGGCCGCCGGGAAGAGGCGTCGCGGCGGGAGAGTCGTCTTGGGGGGTGGCGATGGCGGATGATGAGGCCTCCTTACGGGATAGATCGGTGGAGATGGTCTTGATATTCTTGTTGCGGCGGTGGTTGGGGCGCCAGGACGGAGATCGGAAGGACTTGTGAATTGCGTGGATGTCGAGGTCATCCAGGAGTTGCTGATGAGCAATCTGAGCTTCCGTAGGCGCAGCCATCGTGTCGAGGATTACGAGTTTGTTTGCAAGAGATAAAGCCTGAGGATGCGCGCCAACGGGGGTCGAGTTGCAGATGGAGGTCAGTGTTCGGCGACGAGGGAGCGAGAGCCAGCACTGACGACTGGCACGAAGCTCAAGCTCGTACTAGCTTATTTTACCGCCCATGACCGCCTTCTGTTTTCGTGACCTGTGATAGACCCCCCCATAACAACAGTCACTCTTGGTCGTGGCACAACAAATACTAGGCCATCAACATCATACGAACATGGTAAGTGCCTTTGGTTGCGCGCGACCCTCAAATGGAGTCCCTGACGTTATTTTAGGAGAGCCCACATGAGCATCAGCAGAACCTGCTGCTGTCGCGCATCATCGGCAATGTTGTGAGTGCTGACTGCCCCGCCTGGGTACCTGCGGGGTGATTGACAGCATGAATAGGAGAAACTGAACGAGGCCATTGTCGTCATGAACAAGTCACTACAGGTATTCATGGCGGTACTGCAGCATCGAGTGCCCCGTCAATACTAATACGGCGCTCCTAGGACATCAATATTCAAAACATGAACGTCGAGCTGGTGGCCCAGATGTTCAAGAACTACCAGTCTAATGTTCTTTTCCATCTTGAGGGTAAGGTTCTCCGCCAAGATATCGGCAGTGTTTCTGACCGATCTACCAGCGACGGACAATCTCAAGCCTCCCTCTTGAGATACTCGCGAACACGTGTGTTTAGCGAAGCATTTGTCTTTGGAAAGGGCAGCTAAGTGCCGACCAACCACAAATTCGTAAAATTGCGATTGCGAATAAGATATCCATTCACCGACGATTGCTGCGATTGATGTCATTGTTGTTTTTCCTGCGTCCCTAGTTGTTACCACGTTGCCGCGCTGGCGTGCCAGGCTGGCTCCAGCTACTCCAAGCTGATCAACTAGATCAACCACTGCCGAGCGAGGTGCGCGAATCAATTCAAGTGCATTTGCCCACAGAGCGGCGCGCTGGAACAAAGGCGCGGCCTGCGGGTATTTTTTCGAGAACGGGCCTCGTCGGCCGTTTGAGTAGACCCACGGCAGGCCGGCGCCGGTTGATATTCTGTCGTTCCAGAGGTTTCTGTAGTAGGAGCGGTTGCCGTGGACTTTGAGCTCAAGTAACCCATGCTACACTGATGCAGAAGAAGAGCTGCGTTCTAGTCTGGCGTGACTTCTCACACAGAATGTCTGAGCTTTTGCATCATCCTCGCAAGGCTTGAAGAGTTATGTCCATTCTGTCCAACCCTCTTCATCGGCGTCGAGACAGGCTCTTGGCCACGACAGGGCTGGTATCAGTAAACGTGCCATTGGAGACATGCACGTCAGGTCGCCGGGCGGCGAAGAATAAGTTGAAGATAGTGGTGCAAATGTCGTCTGGCACGTAAAAGAATTGGTTGGCTGTCACAGAGCTGTGAGCTCTGCGCTGTTAGGCGTCAGCGCAGCCATCCCAGTCGCATAGCCATGTCATGGAGCAGAAGGGCGGCGGCTGATACTGTGTCTGCAAGATCAGCTTTGGGGTTGTCCTTGTTCTAGTTTTTCTCCTTCTTCTCCTATCATATAGTCAGCGAGTCTCGTGTGATCATGGGAAAGTCTTGAAGCCGTAGATATGCCCGTAACATGACGAAAGTGATGTGAAGACGAGGTCAAGAGGAGTTCAGCATGTGGATTCCAAGGGGGTGCATTAGTGGGAGCGGGTCTGTCGGGTTGAACGTGGGTCCAGGGCCTTCGACCCTGCCGGGACCTCACTGTGGCAGGTACCTAGGTACCCAGTACCTACTGTGGCAGGCACCTAGTCCAGGAGGACTGACGACGCGGGAGCTCGACCGCGACGCATCGCCAGACGACAAACCGAATTCCGCCTGGTCATACAGAAACGAAGAGCAAAGCGCAACCACCCTTGCGTCGCCAATTGGCCCACGAATCTTCTCCCATCACCCATGCCAACTCAACGACAGCCTTGCCAGCCTCCATTCACCCGATAACGTCTGTTGACGCAACCTCTCTACCTGTCACTCCACAGCATGACAGTGTCGACACCCTAGACGATCCTGCGCTTTCTCTGTACGCCTTTTATCCTCGCCACCTTCCCATCGAGCACACAAGAGCTTCCCTTGCTGCATCCGAACGCCTCCCTTAAGCCGCCAGCGCCGCCATGGCGCCCTCTGCGACTGATGATGGCATTCCCGCCTCCAAGCTGCCCCCGCCTAGGGAATACCCCCCAGCCAAGATCTTCCCCATGAGGGAGGCTCGCTTCGACAAGCCCATGGCCATCCAGCACGACGGCCGTGAAAAGGCTCTCGCTCGGCCTCCGGGCACCTGCGCCATCGTCATCGATAACGGCTCCAATGCTGTCCGCGCCGGCTGGTCCTTCGAGGACAAGCCGCGCATGAGCATCCCTCCCATCATGTCCAAGTACCGCGACCGCAAAGCTGGCAAGACGTATTCCTTTGCCGGCAACGACTGCTACGCCGACGCCAACTCGAGGAGTCATGTTCGAAATGCTTTCGAGCAGGGCACTGGCATCGTCACAAACTGGGACGCCATGGAGCATGTGCTCGACTACATCTTCCTCAAACTCGGCATGAACAACGCCGAGGGCAACATTGACATGCCCATCGTCATGACTGAGGCTGTCGCCAACTTTTCCTACGTTCGCAAGAGTGAGCATTCTCTATTCCCCAAACTACTGCAATGCACGGCAAGCTAACGCAGACAGCCATGAACGAGACGCTCTTCGAGTGCTACGGCGCCCCCTCAGTCGCCTACGGCATCGACTCGCTCTTCTCCTATCGCCACAACAAGGGCACCACCGGCCTCGTCGTCTCCTCGTCCCATACCTCGACCCATGTCATCCCCGTCTACAACCAGAAGGCCATGCTCGCCCAAGCCACCCGCCTGAACTGGGGCGGCTGGCACTCGGCCGAGTACCTCCTCAAGCTCCTCAGGCTCAAGTATCCCGCCTTTGTCGGCAAGCTGAGCCCCTCGCAGGCCGAGCACATGGTGCGCGATCACTGCTATCTCTCTGCCGACTACGATAACGAACTGTCTGGCTACCTTGACTGGACTG